TCAAAGGTGAAATCATTTCTCATCAGCCAGATATCAGCCGCCTGAAACAGTTCAATGTAATTTATATCGCTGCCAATGTGACGAAAAGCAAAGGGCTTGTAATTTGGTGTCACAACATACCAAGTCTGAATACATGTGAAAAGATAATACATGATGTTTTTGACCCTTTGAATAAAAGTCATCTTATCACTCAGCTCTGATCCTGATATAGGAACATAAGAAAAGGGGGAGGGTGCAATTACTTCATGTCCCTCACCCCGAATAGTCCATCTGGCATTGAATACAAGTGGAAGACCCAGACGGTGAGCCAAGAAGGCCCCCCCACCAAATGCAGGGTCAGTAAGGACCAGATCAAATTTGGCATTATGGAGGCTCTGCATTAGTTCGTCATCCTCAAATATCACTTCAACCATCTGAAGCACCATTTTATGCATCAGAGAAGTTTGCGTCATCAGATCATGCACAAGAGAAAGGCGAGTCGAAAGTGAAGCTCCCTGGCGGCGAATGCCCAGAGTTCTCATTACATAGGACTCAAATTTATCTCTATCAAAACCAGCAGGAGAATTAATATTGATGGCCTTGTAATAAGGTGAGTGCTCCTTGATGTACCAGGGGTCTGATGGGCGCAACACTGTGACTTCATGTCCTCGAGCATGTAGCTCTTCAACGATGACTTTCATGTTGATCCAATGGCTCCCATCCACAGGGAAGACCAGAACCTTTCCTCCAGTTACCAAGGATGATGAGCAGAGCAACACTGCAAGTGTCACCAGGGTCAGGTGGTACATCTCTGACAGAGATTCTGATGGGAGATACAGAGATGTTAGCTCTGTTCCTTTGAACAAATTAGACTTGTTGAAAGTTTCCACCACCATACAAAAGCATGCCCATGATAGAGTTGTGTAAGGACAGAATGTACCATACTGCAAGTTTCCCAAGCCACATGAAAAGTGTTCAATGGTTAAGATCAATGATGCTTAGATTTATTATGCAATGCCCACCTATTTGGCATAAAACAAAGAATATTGTAAGGATTTAAACATCTAATCAAAGTTTCTAAGTATTTCAAAAGTTTTGTTGATGTACGGCAAATGCTTTCTAGGTTGTCTAGACAAAACATGTTATTGCAGATACATTAAACAAAGGGTCTTCATGTGGTGTTACAGCACCACACCAAGGCCAATAGTTACTGTAGCACTTTGGAGACATTTGTCGATGGAGTTAGTTCTTAAAACGATTGGGCGTATACAAGGATAAATTTAGAAATGACAAATTAAATATTTGCTTTGGAAAACATGTTTCTGTGTGAACAAGGCCCAAGATGCAATGTTTTTGTCACTTTACATTCATTTTTAGAAGTTTAGGCAAACAAGGATGATTTGAGTTGTCAAAAAAATCTATTTTAATTTTGAGGTCAAATTTTTTAGGTTTGATTACAAAAAGGGTTGGCCATGAAATTAAATGTATTGTGTAATTCATGGGCCGCTGTCTGATTGGCAATCTACTCAACTAGCATGTGTGTGATATAAATCCAATCATCTGTCCTAGTCTATGATGTTCTGCCATGTTTCTCTGTGGTTGTGCATCCTAGGACTTTTGCGACTAACCACAGTTTGTGAGGGAACAGCATGCAGGTGCATATAAACTCCCATACCAAAGGTGTCACCAAAGACAAAGAGATACAAAGACCTGCAAGTCTGACACCAAGTAAAAGAAAGAAAACAAGGATGGTTGTTTTAAGGAGATATTGTTTGAGATGAGTCTTTAGCCCTAATTCTACAATTTATCACTCAAGAACCACAAAGGCACCAATGGGGGGTGGGGTACAAACTTCTTTCACATTAACAGCTAGCAAACCAGCGTTTACCGGTACTATACTGAACTGGAGTGGGAAATTGTGAACCCATCAGTTGAAAAGTGTGGAGCAACCGACCCACATAGCACATGCAAGTTAGTAAGAGTTTGCAAGTTAGCAATAGGTCCCAACAGTGTTGCCCAAGTGTAAATAGAAACTTTATGAAAGCCTTTAAGATCCAAAAATACATAAACGTGAGTACAAACACAAACAAACATTTATATGACATTTTATATTTATACATTTCAGCATTTTTGTAGTTGGTTTGTATTGTTTTGTATTGTATGTAACATTTTTGTTTTATTATTATTTTTTGGTGCTATATACTTCCATATAGAAACCTATATTGATTTATAACAATTAAACAATAATAACACCTACCCTACATTACATAATTGAATTTATATAAATATGAATGTATCTGTATAGTGCCCTAAAATGACTTCTCTTGTGACTTGGTGCTATATAAATAAACCAAATTGAATTAAATTAAGCATAAACCAAAACGACACTAGAAGTTAGCTTTAGCTTGAGTTATGCTTATCAATCTTACGTTCCTCAAACTAGTTGAAGACCCTGAAATCCTGAAATTACATTTAAGAAACTGAAGGACACAATTCTTTAGGTTTTAGGGGATTTATTTACA